AGTATCAATCAAGGTCCTACAAAGGCAGTTGGTAACATTCCTTTGGAGGGGCAACCACGAGCATAAGAATGCTATCAACAGAGTGGCATGGCAATCCTTAATACAATCTAAATCCAATGGAGGATTGGGCATAATTGACCCCACATTCCAAGCAAAGGCACTATCAATCCAATGGTTAAAGCGTCTCCTATTCAATCCCCAAACTCCATGGAAACAATTAGCTTGTGAACAGATTAGGCGCCTAGCCCCGCCTACTTCAAAAGAGGTTGATCCTCTAATGTGGTTAGAGAATCGTGACTGGTCTATCCCAAGCGCATCCCCAGCAGTACCCCACGATCTAGTCCTTTCTGATCGCCAAGCGGCGAGGGTAGATCTGTCAAGAGACCCGTTCTGGACTGACCTTCTCAAAACATGGAGGAAATTTCCCATCCCTGATAAAATAGTACCGGAAAGATGAAAAGAAGTTTGCCAACAACCGCTCTTTAATAACACACTCATAAGAGACTCCCAAGGATGTACCTTACATTGTATGGACTCCCCCTGGAGAGGTTGGATCAGAAGAGGGGTCACGCGCACCAAGGATATATGGAGTGTGGTAAATCAAGAGTGGATTGACATTCCTAACCTGAATAATAAGCTAAGATACTGCCACCATCAAAAGGAAGCACTGGACCACATAATTGATATAATCCCCTTAGACTGGGTTAGGATATTGAGAAAAGGTCCTACCCTCCTTCCTAATGATTGGGTTTCCATACACAACCACCCTGGTATAGTAGGAAAAATTGTAGCACTCTCTCCTAATGGTGATACACAAATGACAATTTACAAACTCGATGACGATGAATTTCTCAGACTCATCCCAGACCAGAGTACCAGTCGTATTCACAAAGACAAACTATTCAGGATTAGAGTACTATTGATCAAGGATAGATGGTTGGCCTATAAACCAGATACTCCCATCTCTCATCTTCCCCTGGACCCTGTTAACTGGTCTTGGTCATCTAAAGTAAGTCCAAAACATACCCATACCAGGGCTCTTCACACGCTGACAGTAAAATCCACATACAGGATGTTGCGTCCAAGGTTAAAATAAAAAGACAAAATAGAAAAGCAATGGATGAAACACCTAAACGTGAGCAAAGACGAACTTAGATCAGTCAAATGGTTTCATTTCGTCAAATCCAAACCAGCTAAGATGGCATCCCTTCAATGGCAGATTACTCACCATTGTCTACCAACAAACGACTGGATTATTGATAGAACTACTCTAGAGCAGAGAGGAATATCCCTACCTTGGTGCAAGTTTTGTAAATCTGCCTTCCCGTCCAAACTAATTCCGGAAACAATAGAACACATATTTCTACAATGCCCAGGGGTGGTCTGGCTATGGCGCTGGTGGAATAGAATCTGGAACCAGACTGAGAACTCACTACCATGGCCATGGAACTGGAAAGCCCTCCTCCTAGAAGCATGGTTCCCTACCTGTGAAGACAGTTTCACAACGAACTTATTTACAATTGGGAGAAGAGCGCTGGTTTGGGCTATACGGACTCGCAGATGCACATTTGAAATGGAGGGTGCCCTGGATGGGCCTGAGTTCACAGAATCCATCAAGCAGCAAGTTCAATTAGAGTTAACAGCGAGATGGGAAACTTTAAAAGATAAACTTAAATCCCTCACAGCAAAAAATGAAATTCAACAACACATCAAATCGTTTAATCTAAACTGGCTTGGAGGGGAACAAGGAGGTACAATTGGGCAGGTTAAATGGACTGGAGCGTGTGAGAATATTCAAGGGAAGCTCTCAAGGAATTACCACTCAGTCTTTAATGACTGGAGTCTCGTTGATCCCTCCATTCCTCTCCGTCCCCTTTCTGAGTTTCCAGATCCTTTTCCTCCACCCAAGTCAGCTCTGGTCCCACTCTCATGGTACGGAGGTGAGTGATCTCACGTATAGATGTGGATGGATAAGATAGTTCTAAGAAAGGTTCTGGACAGAGAATATTGCTAGGATATAAGGTATATCTGGCGCCTGATCAGGGTGAAGAGGCAATACTGTCCCTTGTATCTGAAGTATCTGAAGTTCCTTTAGATCCTACCTCGTTTTATGTTCATTATTGAAGCTAAAGGACACTGGACCTGGTTTCCAGCAGGTGAGCTATTGTTGGTGTATAGGGATGCTGGACCTCTTTTCATTATTGAAGATCCAAGGGACGCTGGACCTGGTTTCCAGCAGGTGCGTTATTGTTGTTGTAAAGGGACGCTGGACCCGGTTTCCAGCAGGTGCAGCTCCCCACCAATAGATCGGAGAAAAAAAAAAAAAAGAGAGATGGTTCCAGGCCAGAGATGGCTTATGAGACAGGTTGGCACATTGTGTAGCATGCCAGGGCTCGAACCCTGCACCTTGGGCTGCAGGCATGTTATTTCAGTCTTCAATACATACCCTCGACGGTAGATTTGAAGACATATTCTTTTTTCTTTTTTTTTCTTTTTTTTCTTTCTTTGAAAAGAAAACTTCGTATACGGGAAACCTACTTAGCAAGGTGATAAGAGCATCCCCGATAAGTAGGCACCCGTCGAAGGCTCCATCTATTGGTGGGGAGCTGCACCTGCTGGAAATCGGGTCCAGCGTCCCTGTACAATGATGTGATGTGTGTCAGCTGGAAATCGGGTCCAGCGTCCCTATACAGTGGTGTGTAGATATGTCCAATTCAGCGTCCCTATACAGTGGTGTGTAGATATGTCCAATTCAGCGTCCCTATACAGTGGTGTGTACACTGTAGATATGTCCATTTTTTTTTTTATTTTTTTTTTTATTTTTTTTTAAGTCCATGGTGTTGTAGAGGCCAGTCACTGAGTACACTGTGATCACCTGGAGCAGTAGGCCATGGGTGTCCTGGAATATGACACCACCTCCCATCCCATCCTCACGTCAATACTCCTAGCTCACCCCCTATCCCACTATCCTACCTCAGTGTGACCAGCACTCAGGACCATTACCCTACCAATCGGCAGGTAACTTGGACCGAACAGCAGTGATAGGCACCAGGGCTGATAGGTTGCCCAGCCCTGGTGGAATCGGAATCGGACGAGCCTTGTCGAACCGGAACTTCAGACGCCAGGCCCAGACAATCTACTACAGGCCCCAAGAGACTCTGGGCCCTAGGTTTCAGGCAGGGTAACACCAATTGAAGCAGTCTTACAGTCCTTCCCCTAGCTTACCCAAGGCCAGGCGGAACTCGGACTGGCCTGAGCGACTTATACCCCTACCCTTACCCCAGGGCCTAAGCCTTATATATAGCCACTAGACAGTTCTAACTTCTACCCGAATATCAGTAGGAACTCCGGCGGCCCATACCTGTCCCTACCGCAGATACTAGACCCCACCCAGTGACTTGACCCCCCAGTCTGATAGTTGTGTAGTTGGCAATGTATGTGTATACCCGAAGGCTGTGTATGCTTCGTGTATCTATGTATGAAGATGTTCAGACAGCACTATGTGTGTAAACTTGTGTATGTAGCCTGTAGGCCATGTATAATTTGCAAGCTATGTATATGCCCGAAGGCTGTGTGTGCTCTGTGAATCAATGTATGGAGATGTATAGTAGGCAGCATCATGCGTGTATATCGAAGAGAGAACGCTAGTGTCTTTTGTCTTTGACTGCTAGTGTCTTTTGTCTTCGTTTTCGTGGAGGCAGCTGCCCGTCGCCTGCCCTGCCAGTGTCTTTTGTCTTCATTTTCATGGAGGCAAACGTAAGTCGTTGATCGTACTCTGCATCAACTGCTAATGTCTTTTGTCTTCGTTTTCGTGGAGGCAGCTGCCCATCGCCCAGTAGGAAAATTTAAATTCATTTGTTGGCCATTTAGTTGGCCACTTTGAGGTTGGCGCGAAGCTCCAATTCTATGTTGTTGTTTTTTTTTTTGGGGGGGGGGGGGGGGGGGTTGAAGCTTCGAGCCGTGCTATTGAGGATATTGAGATTTCCGTGGAAGACTGCGAACAGGCCGGTGGGAAGGTCGCATGCCGATGTACCACGGAGTGTGGATGCACAGCCTATACTGTCATGATGTCTATGTCAGGCCCCGTGATTTTTTTTTTTTTTTGGGTCCTTTTCCTTGCATTGGTGTAAATAAAAAATAGCATTGTTTATGCGTTTTTAAATGAGAAAAGAACGCCACACACCGTTTTAAAGGAAGCTAGTTGGTCCGAGCCCCTGGGTCAGAATGTCAGAGGTCACCTTTTTTTTTCTCTTCTTGACGAACTCATTCCGGGGGCCAATAGAAGTAGAAGATAAAAAGTTTTTTGACTTTGTTTTGAGCCATTGTGGCTAATGCTCCTAGTATCATGGAAGCAATACTGCAAAAAACGAAGACTGTTTTTGCCAGTTGGATCATAAAAACTCCTGACGAGTCAGTGAAAGTCTGACAAAACCACACAGCCTGGTAAAGTCATGCTCCTCAGACTTCCGGCCATTCTTGTCATGGGCTTGGAATGACAGTCTACTAGGATTGCACAGTTGGTATGACTAAAGTCCCCCACTTTTCTCTCTCAGCAGGGGGTATCGCTAAATCTGACCGACGAGGTGAGTCCTTACCCATCAGTCAAATGCATCGTGGGCAGACTGTCGCGTTTCAGCCTCCTGACGAGTTAGTGAAAGTCCGACAAGACACTCTGGCACAGTCATGCCTTTTCTGTGAACTTGCATACAATGAACATGACCACACACACACACACACACACACACACACACGCACACACACACACACACACACACACACACACACACACACACACACACACTTCCCAGACTGCATTCCTCTAGTTGATGGATGTGTGAGGTGAAGCGGTTTCAATTTTGGATCTACTCACCTGGGTGGAATAGGGACTGTCCTGGTGACAATAAAAAACACCAATACACACACATGAACTGGGGGCAAAGCACCTACTTTGCAAGCAGGAGCTATGCGTAGGAGAGGTTGGGAGTAGGGTTCGCACACACCTTAACTGCCTCCCTAGCCACTTGATGGGAGAATCCTTCATCATCTGAGTCCGTGTCGACCGCCATGGTGATGGCACTCAGCCGTTCCGGTCTACTTATTGATTGAATAAGCGGCGGAGGATAGTTGCTATCCCCTTGCAACCTGTATGATCCTCCTGAATAAGGTGTGTTTGCTAACGACTTCTTGCTTGATACCGTATCCTTGGCTGATCCATTGGGTTGCGCTTGTTGCATGTCATCCGACACCCTCAGCATCCCTGACGTGCGCTTGACGCTCACCCCCTTTTTATCGGAAGGAACGAGCATGTGGTGTCTATTACTATCCATAGGAGGGAGGCTCAGCAATGGCAAGCGATTCTGCTCCAAGCCCTTCCTCTGGTTGTTGGGTGGCACTAGTATGAGACTGATGGGATGGCCTCCTCGGGCCCTCAAATCTGACCGCCTTGGACTCTGCCAGGTTCATACTGCTTCCCTCTTCCAGACTCAACGGGGCCTTTGCGCCGTTTGCAGAAACAGTTCACTTGGAGTGAGAGATGCATCCAGAGCTAATAGATTTGCGCTAGCCTGTTTGCTCATGCTCTTCCCGTCTCGGACAGGGCGAGTTTCTTCTCCTGCAAGACAAGGTCCCGGCTGTGTAAGAACACAGTGTCACAGCACAACACAATGACAACAACACATGCACAGCCATCCATACCAATCCAGTGTCATTCTTCGATTCATTTTACTTTTTCTTTTCAAGGGCGACGGCCTTGAGATATCATCTCGAACTGACCGGGCCCCTGTCACTCAAGAATTCTCTTTCGTCTAGATTCTAGATCCATCTGCATTCGAACTAAAGATTCTAGATCCATTGGGAGGAAAGAAATATCATGTACTAGATGAATAGAGTGAAATTGTGAAAGTCATTTCTTTACTTGTGTAAGGATTGGGAGGAAAAAACAAGAGAGAAAAAAAAAAAAAAAAAAAAAAAACCCTGATTTCCAAAACACCGTGGAGGTATCCCTTTGTTGCTACACAATTGAACAACTTTTTTTTTTTTTTTTTTTACACAACACCTGCGGGAACAATATGATTACGCGCTGCGGACCAAATTGCAAATTGCAAACAAACCTTGCAAGCAGTCTTATGTCAAGTTGTCAACACAAATGGAACAAAAGGTCAACACACTGTTGACTTTTCAAGTCAATTCTCCCATTCTTTTTTTTTTTTTTTTTTTTTTTTTCAACACCGCTCCATCTATTGGTGGGGAGCATCACCTGCTGGAAACCGGGTCCAGCGTCCCTTGAGTACATCATTACCACTTCTCTATTTTGAAAAGGACACCACTTGTGCTGGAAACCGGGTCCAGCATCCCATCTCGCCCATTCATTTACAGGCCTCGGTAGAGGAAAGATGTACAGAGACTGTGAGAAAATGGTGGAAATGAGCACAATTATGGGTACCAGCAGTATGTACATGAGGAGGGTTAGCGATTCTATTCAGATTGGGTTTAAATGTGAATGTGGTCAACGCCGACTCGACGGCCACACAGATACCAAACAGGAATTAGGCATGAATCAAAGAATATATCCAAAGAAAAACTATCACCATAATGAATATCTATGCTCTATAAATTTCCAAGAGTCCAAAAAAAAAAAAAAAGAAAAAGGATTATTTAAATTTATTTTGTTATAAAATTCCAGGAGAGAATGTGGTCTCTGGAATTATCACCAGAAATTATACTGCATAAGGAAGACTTGGTTATTAATACTTATTATTGATGTAGTTATTATGGGGAACTGGAAACATACAATTCGGTGTGAACTCCACTTCGGATTATTTCCCAACCTAAGACTTCATGGTAGTGAGACATTTTATCATATCCGACCTTCCTAAGGCATGAAAGAATCATTTTGACAACCCCACCCCAAAAAAAAAGACATTTACATGAGTGGTGAATCGAAAGAAAAAGGGGACAAACCCTCCCACCATGAGAAGTTTGGACTACATGCTGGTGAGAGACATTCTACATTCCAATGAAAAGATGTATGCAGCCAGCAATGGAGAAAACACCATTCTCAGACCACAGAGGGATATATCTATCACCCTAGCATGGAAACAAGGAATGAAAAAAGAAAGGGAAAAAGTTAAAAAAACCCTTAAACCACCAGTACCTACCCGTTGGGGTGGCCGTTAACGCGGAAGCCGAATTGGCCTGCGCCTCCGGTCCAAATTCATTTGAGGCCGGGGGGTATGAAAAATAAGGTCCGTACTGGTGGTTTGAGTTGAATCTACAAATGACCAATTAAAAAGGCAATGTGTTTCAAAGTCAAGCCGAAATGGCAAACAGTGAACAATAGCACCGAGGGATCTCGGTCACATCAACTAGACTTCACACAATCTCTATGTTCAGCGTATGAAGGTAGAGAATCTAAAATGGTAGGACACCATGAACAAGCAGGGGGGAAAAAAAGAAAAAAAAAGAAAGAGATCTGAAGGAAGCAGAGGAAGGCCGTGCCACGAGACTATTGACTGAGATTCAAGGACTGGCTGACTATCGACTCTAGTGTCCCCTTGAGACAAGCGGAAGAGTTTCCGGACCTGTTCCCTCCCCACCCACGGTCCTTGGAAATATGTCTGTGAAATCCCCTTTCGTCATCTGCAGAATGGCCGAATATTGGTTTGAGATCCGGTGATTGTAGCACTGTGACGCCCAACCTCACGCCCGGTGCGACTTCCTGATCGGAGTGAGAGTGGGCCTGGAAGTGCGCAAAAAGGGGGGTGTGCCAAGGATTTTTGGGAAAGTGGGGGTGGAGTCCCAGGTATGAACTGAGATCTCCTGTGCCAAGTTTCAGGGATATGAATGCAAGTGGATAGGCGGGATAGGGTCCTATTTTAGGCTTCGGGGAACGGGCAGTCACCTCCGTTGGTCCCGTCGTCTTGGGCAAATCCGTATCCTGTGTACCGCAGGAACGCTGTGGCTATCTCGTTGGCTTACTATCTGTCGCCGACGAGTCTCGCAGATCTCGGAATCGGACGCGGCCAGTCTCAGCCGAAGGCTGTGCTCCCGTCGTTCAGTTTCCGACCGGGTTTGCCGGGTGAAGCCCGACGCTCAGTAAGCGTGGTCTTCTATGCACTCCGAACACGGGGGTTGGGGCTAGTAGGGGGCGAGCATCCGCCAAGGGGCGATGGTCAAGGAGTGAAAGGGCAATATACGGTGATAGGGAGGGAATTCGGTTTCCAGAATAATAATTCCAGGTTCCGTGACGATGTGACACGTGTATGAGCTGGGAAATCCGGGGAGGTGCCACTGGGGGATATGTTCCAAAGCCTGACCAATATCCCACTCGCAAACACGCTCGTTTCCTGTCGAGTATGGAAATTCCAAAGGTTCTGCCCTCGATCGTGCAGACAAACACGCATGCTCCCAATATTCTCGGAACTCGTGATCCCTCAGACACTCGCAGTCAGTGATTCGGAAGGGGATTTCGATATTCATACTGCGGGGCGGGTCGAGAGTCCAGACATTCGGGGTGCTTGGTCGGGGCCCGAATCGGGGACAGAGCTTGCAGACACGCGTGTACGTGACAACCTTCTTCGACCGGGCCAACACGTGCGTGCACAAGATCTGTCCGTCGGTCAGGCGGGTAATTGCCAACAACTCACAACCCTTACATATGTACTGGCACGTCAGTCCGAAAATTGATGATCGCAACGTGACATAGGCATCTAACCAACAAGCATGCTTATCCAATTCATGTTCACACAGAGAACCGTCAATTCATCCATGCATCAAACTTCAGAGGTCCCGGTGGTCAGAAGACATACATGGACTGAGCGCAGAGGATCAATCAACCAAGCTAACAATTCAAACAAAAGAAAGGACGGGGCGACGGAGAGAACCACACATCACTCCATAAGGAAAAGAAAAATATGAGAGTAATCGATCCGAAAACAAAAACAATTGGCGCCATGTATCAAAATTACTCAAAAGAATTGAAGAGAAGAACATCATTCCAACGCATCACGTCTCTCTCTCTCTCTCTCTCTCTCTCTCTCTCTC